TTCTATTTATCTGCTTGCATTTTAAAAGATTACAAAGCAGGATGATTGCTAGATCTTCTAAAACTCGGTTCTTCTGAAAGTTGATAAAACATTCATATTGAATAGAACAATGAAGCCTGCTCTCCCTTATTCTGACACAGAAACTTGCTCTTCCTCCAGGCTGCCTTGGCTCCTTCAGTCAGTTTGGACCAGGTGCAGAAGAACCTAGTGGATGTTTTAAAAAAAAAAAAAAGGATTTCTTTCAGATGTCTGTTTGATGCAACAGACTTAGTATTTGATTTCTTTTATATATGTAGAGAGGAACAGAACTGAGCATAGAGAATAGGATCTTTTGGTTATTAGGGAGGAAATGGTGTTAGTTGTGTATCTTGACTATCGTGCATGATTTGTATTCTAGGCAGGTGGAGGCTTAAACTTAAGCATAACCTTGTTTAGTGGGGTTGTTTAACAAGGTCTCCATGATGACATTGTTTTTTGTTTTTTAATTAAAATGCTTCGCACCAACTCTCTGTCCTGTGTGTGTTCTAGTCCTGAGTGGCAATAATTTTATGTTCATCTGTATCGCAGAAAATTAGGGATTTTTTTTCACTTTGTCCTAAACTGGAAAATCCATTCTCTTGCTGCTATCTAATATATGGCTCCTTGAATACTGTGAAGAAGAACCAAAAATATAAATTTTAGATTCTCAAAAATCAGCCTGTGCCCTTGTTCTCTGTCTAAGGCCTTTATATCAAGAATGTCATCTGGTCTTTCCAGCATGTGTTTGAGATTCAAGGGCACTTACCTTTTTCTCAGTAAAGGTTCTAATTTAAAATTTGTCCCTGAAACAGGAATAACCTGTGCTAGTGAGGCGGCGTGCCAAGTTTGTGTACCAGAACTGAAAGTCCCCAAGGCGATAGTTCAGCTAACACTGTAGAAATCGGTACTCTGGATCAATGCTTTATCACTATTTGCTCTCAGAACTAATTAATGCTAGTCTTTCCAAAAATCTGCCAGAGGCAACTGGCGGTTCTGTGAGACGGCGTATAAGATCTAAACTTTAACCAAAGGTCTGTGATTACTAAATTGCAGTCTAATAACTTAACTGTACCTTTTCTTACCTGGGCTGCACCTAGGGCCAATTTTAGCCCAGTGAGCTCAGGCTTACAAAAGTTCATTGTAACAGGCTGGTCTAGCCCTTTGAGAGAGCAGGCAAAGAAGCCCATCTGTGGGCATCTGCGTAATGAAGGTGTCTCAGTGGAAGCTTAAAATCCCAAAGGAGAATGGAGAAAGGGGCAAGCTGGGTAAAAGAGCAATTTGCAGGCAAGAGGCAAACTGACCGATCGGACAAGCTTGTGACCAGAAAGGGGTCTCGCTAATATGCTAGGGCCAGAGTTAGAGGGCCCCTGCTACTGTCCAGAAGGGGGCTGAGGGGTTTTGTTTGTTGGCTTCTCTATTTGATTTGTGTGCAGAGACTGTCTTTTTTTTTTTTTTTACTTTATTTTTATTTGAAGGGCTGTCTGAGGAGCTCTTTTTAGGGAGTAAAGCCAACTTGTAAGGGCTAGCAAGCTAAGCCCCACCCACTTATTCACACTGTACATCTGATTTAGGTAGTATAGAAGGTGCAAATCTACTGAACCATCTATGATCTCTGCATAAATTTTGCCATACATAATAGTCTTATCTAATTAAAATCACTTAGTTGCATCTTCACTAGGAAGATGAGTGTTTGTTTGTTTGTTTTTTTACTGTTGGGATAGCTGAATGTCCTAGTGAAGCTGAGGTTGTCAGCAAGTCTTACCTTGATGTACCTAGCAAAGTAAACACAACACCACATTGGAGACTAGCTTCAGTAAAGGTAAAAGCTGCAGCTGGCAAAATCACTCTTAAATCTGTTTCAACTTTTAAAATTTTATCTAATATTTAACATATAGTAGAACATTAACAAAAAGCTGTGGGGTTTTTAAAAATAATTAGGACAATTTCAATATAACACAAAGGTGAGTACTAAACCACTTTTTTTCCTTTTCAGATGGGCGCCCGCTGTATGTGTTGAGGTTGGGACAGATGGATACCAAAGGCTTAGTACGAGCTCTTGGGGAAGAAGCCTTGCTTCGCTATGTAAGTGTTTTGGAGATTTGTTTTCTGTTCACATTGTGATGTTCCCATTTAGTAGAACATCCTGTGATGCCAGAATGATTGTTGCATAGCATGTATCTTTTATTTTTTTGTTCTGTAGCAATCTGTTTTCATTTTGAACAGACCGAACCTCCCTAAATGCTTGCATTTTAGCATTCTTACCAACTGTGAACTCATGGCACCAAGGCGCAGTCCTTGGCTCTCCTTCCGGGCTGAGACCTTTCAGTAGTTTCTTACGTAGTTTGTGCGGTGCTTGAATCTTAAATCTCTGCACTTGCACAAGGCAAGAGGTGCCTTGTTTGAAGTATTATATATGTAATTTTTATGTATAAAATATCTCCCACCCAGTTTTAAGATGTACATTATTTTTAAAGGAAAATGACTTGCGTTTAAACTATTTTTACAAAGGGATCGCTATGGGATTCTTGTTACTGACATGCAAAGCTTCCTAGCACAAAATGGGCCGAATCCCAAGGTTTGTGCATTGTGGTGGTTTTTTATTTTAATGGCTGGAATAATGGTCATGGTCCCAAGCCAGCCCCTAATTCTAGTAATCATTCACATTGTGTTTCTGGTTGTCCTGTTGAATCTATATGTGAAGTCTTTATCTGTCATCAGAAAAAACATTAACTTAAATCAGTGTTTTGGTTGTATCTTCCTTCTTTTTTGAAGCAACCTTTTTCCCTGTTCACTCTAGGATTAGAGGCAAAGTCTCTTTCAGAGTTTGTCTTCAGCTAGAAAGCTGAGACTCCCAGAATGAGACTTCTGTGTAAATAATGGTATATTTGTAGAAAGACATCTTTCACTGATCACTGTCAACAAACTAAGAATCCCATGTAACAGTTGTTCCAGCAAATTGAGTACTTGTTAAACATTCATTTGCCCCTGGGAAAAGACAGAGCTAAGATTTTGTGCAGAGATCTTTACTGTAGCATCTGGATACTACAGGCAAAGGAGGTTGTGTTTTTTTTTTTTATGTTTGTTTTTAAGCATTTTACCCTTCCTTGAATCATTGCACTCAGTGCTACTCTTTAGCCCACCATTATGTGCCTTAATGTAGGCATCATTTTCCTTTTTGTTTTGAAGTTATTTTGATAGTTTGTTCCCTTCAGATTGTAAAATTTTAATTTTCCACCCTAGCTCCATCCAGGCAGCAGTTTTAGAACACTTCCTCTAAAACAACATGCTCTTTTGTATAGGTTCTCTCTATAAATGAAGAAGGACTGAGGCGATGTGAAGAAAATACAAAAGTATTTGGCAGGCCTATAAGGTAAAACACCGGAAGGTTACTATTCAAAAATAACCTCAGGGGGTGGGTGGGGGGGTGTATATGTGTATATATTTAAACTTTGACCACAGAACTGCATTTATTTCTAGGGTCTGTGGTGCACTGCAGTTCGCTCACACAGGCTCTTATTCCCCAAAATGTAATTCAGAATGTAGAATGACTGGATTCTTAAAGCCATCTTTATTCTGTCATAAAACACTGGACTCCCTTCAGAGTCCAAGTCCACCCTTTAATCTGTATAAAGTATTTTGGAATGCATGGCATTTCTGTTCCTTACCTTCTTACTGCTGGAGAACTTAGCTCAAGCTGTCTTAATTAGTGAGAAATGAAATCTAAGGTTTGAATTGTGCATATAAACCTAAGACCTTTAGCTGGCCAAGGGATTTAAAAGTCAGGGTAGCAGTGGCAACCAAATATGTAACAAATATTTAAATGCCAAAAGGCTTTGCTTCATCCGAGTCACACGACGTCAAA